TATTCATACTTCGTAATAGGTTGCACATGTGTTACTCACTTAGCAATTTAGATTCAAGAGATTTCTTAAAACATATAATCGATTTTAATTTTAATTCTTTAGCTAATCAATTTTATACTTTGATATTTGATATGTAAGTGAATTTTTGAATTGTTCTGTATGATGTGGCGGAGCTGTAATTGTATTTTTGTATCTTGTATTGATATTATGTATGTCAGTTCTGTATATAATTTTTTTAAAAAGATATGCTGGTAAAGAGTTTTTGATAGTTTTGTGAAAAAAAAACAAGCAGCATGTAGAAATCTTCTCTATTCCATGCTCAACCATTTTACATGTTTTAATTTGTGAGAAATAGGCTGGTGTCTTCTTACACCACAAATCAGACGAAGACACAAATTTTGAACCATCTCAATTCTTCTGCTGTCATCTGAACTAAAACAAGGCCCATACACAACATCTCCATAGTTAAATTTTGATAATACATACTAAACTTTTGCACAATATTCTTTTTACTTTGTATGATACACAGTGGTGATTATGATAAATTGTTCTTAGACTGAGAAATGCTTTACTCACACAGGTGTTAATATGTTTTGTAAATTTAAGGTGATTATCTAAAGTTAAACCTGGGTTTTTTTGCACTAGTTACTATTTATAATGATTTCATTATCAACAACTATTTCAATGATGTTTCTCATCTCCAAACACACCCTGTTTTTTACCAAAACCACTAGATTAGTTTTTTTTAGAATTTATATTCAATAGGTAATTCCAGATGTGAGGTCTCTTTGACATATTCGGTTTTCAAGTCTTATAGACCAGGGAAATAAGCACAAAAGTACTATGTTTTTGACACTAAACCGGCCAGGCAAACGACAGTTATTTTGAGTAGTACGGACCTCTGTCTGTATAACAAAAACATATATGTTTCTTGCAGCCGATGTTTTGGCCTTATAGTTATTAACAATTTAGGGTCAAAAGACGGTAAATTTGCACTTTTTCCATCTATCAGCAAAAAGTGAAGCATTTGAAACAAATTTAAGAGCAATTAACTTATAAGTCATATAAAAACCATCAAAAACGCCGGTTTTTATAAATGTTAATGACCTTTTTAAAAATAAACTTGCAATGGTCATATTATATGAAATGTTGTTTCTTGTAGGTATTAAAATATGGCCAAGATTTCAAAGCGATTAGTCAAATAGTTTAAAAGTTATTTAATTTGTTTATCGCAAATTAAATTTTTTTTGCAACAATATAATTCAGAAAATGATAAAGTTACATTAATTCTAAGGATAGTATATGAAGGAAGAAGGATGATTCTATCAACAATTAAAAAAAAAAGAAAAAGTATTTTAAATATTGCAAAAACATGTTGATTTTTAGCTTATAAACAATTAGAATAACCATTTAACCATTGTCTCCAAGAAAATTATTTTTTCATATTTAGAAAGCCTGTAAGTAATAAAATAAGTCATATGCAATGATGCTACGGTTGAATTAGCTATTAAATCTGGAGGTAAATTTTGTGTAATCACATTCAAAATCTCCAAGGACCTGACAAAAATGGAACAAGATGCATACAAGGCTGCTAAAAAGGAATTAATAGAAAGAACATCTGCTGGGGAGGTTAACTTGATTATCCGTTAACTTAGTGGTGTACCACCTGTGGTGGTAGCTAAACAAAAAACGAGTCTCTATCCCTGTAACTGTATACTACCAGAATTTAGGTAGTCTACATACTAAACTTTTTGATCAGCTAATAAGTATTGCATGCTGCTCTTATGATATAATTATTTGAGTCAAAAGTAACTTAAACAGCTGATATTTGATAGTGAATTAAAGTGTAAAGTGTGAAGGTTTTAACATTTATAGGAGTGATAGAGGCAGTTGAACAAGTAAGAAAGCAGAGGTGGAGTTCTAATATTCATTAACAACAATTTTCAATCTTCTACAATTTCTGTTATTGAAGATCACATAAAACAGCTTTATATTTAGTGTCAGGATCGTGGATCTCAATTTGTTATTGAGGGTATTTAAGTGTATTCCTTCCCAAATGCCTCGTGAGCATTATATCCAACACTGCTACTCTATTAAAAATTTTGTTTAGCTGCTTCCCTTTGTTAATATCCATATACTTATTTGGTGACTACAATTTACCAAATGGTTTATAGTCTAATGATGAGTATGATGTATTGATTCATTGTCCAGGAGGAGATCCAGCTGTGGATGTTGCTCACATAATTGGTTATTTAAAATTTTATTGTATATGTATGTATATATCAAATGAGAGAAATATATTTTTGGATTTGGTTTCTTTTAGGTATACGGTATAACTTTCTGGTATAACTTTTCATCATCAGTTGGCGCTACAGCCCTTTGTGAGCCTTGGCCTGTTTCAAAACATTCTTCCATCCTTTCCTATCGAATGTCTGTCTTCTCCAGCCCCTCAGTCCAATCTCCCTCAGATCTTCCTGTACATCGTCCAGATATCTGAGTTTAGGTAGCCCCCTTCTTCTTCTTCCGACCGGCCTGTTTAACATAGTTATTTTAGTGGGATCACTCTCATCCATCCGCATAACGTGACCCACCCACCTTGGGTGGTTTATTTTGATGGTCTTCACAATATCTGCATCACCAAAAAAACTTATAGGCTCCCATTAATTAGGGTATAACTTTTAGGCTCCCATTAATTAGTAGGATTGCTTGGCTCACAATGATATTTATGTTTCAACTAATACTATAAGAGGAATGTATCTACCAAATTTCAAGACTAATACTCTTCCTCAAGAATTATCACACAGACTGATTGACAGACAATGTTACATTTTCATGAATTTTGCCTAAAAACGGGATTTTCTATAAAGTAGTTTGTTTTACAGATCTCAGGCATGAAATTTTCCAAAGTGATATACCATACACTAGGTGCCTGACCTAGTCAGAAATGAGGAGGTCCTCAGATATGCTCTCCTTCAAGCCATCCTGCAAGGAAAAATATTTGGAAAGTGAGGTCCAGGAAGAAGAAGAACATACTGGTTAAAGAACCTCAGAATCTGGTCCAATACAACATCTTTCCAGCTTTTCTGCACTGCTGCAAATAAGATAAAGATAGCCACGATGATTGCCAACATTCGTAACAGATAGGCATATCAAGAAGAAGAAGAGGTGCCTGAGAGGTATTCACACTATACCCCAATCTCAGAAATGGTCCAAATAATAAGCCCTCCAATATTCTGATATGTTTAAGAGAGCACAATTTCACTCTAGTTGTAATATGGGCAAATCAAGAAGAGAGAAAAACGCAGAAAAGATTGTCTTGCTGATAGTATCTCCCTACCCTGGCCTATGGACATGTGGATTTGGGCAGGCTGTATGCATTCACAAGGTAATTAAGGAATAGGCCAGTGTTATTGTTTTCACTTTTCCAATCATTAGTGTACCTTCATTGTAAAGTAATAATGTAAACTGTCAATAAATGCAGTAATATTTAAGTTTTATGTTACATACAACATACATTTCTATCATTTATCAAAAATAACTAGACCAATGCTTTTTTCTAAGTAAAAATCTAACTTCTAATAATTCTAATTGTACTAATTTATCTTGATTATGATAGAGTTAATATTTTGTTTTATTTATAATTAAGATTTTAATTTCACTTAGTTTGTAAGCAATTACTGAGATTGATTTTTATACTGTATGTTAACATATATTTTTTTGTAATGGGGGTAATCTAATCTCTAAAGTAATTAGAAATGCCATTGTGATTGGATTGAACAAGTTTCTGGTTCAGATTCAGTCAACTTTCAGTTTTCGTCTCACTTATCTAATAAATTATTTGCACAAAATAACAAAGAGCCCTGGTAGTACTCCAATATAGAATACCCAATCCATGTAAACAATAAAAAGGTCATTGCTGAAAAACCATGTTTCTCTACTTGTTATCATTCTATTACATTTTGTGTTGCAATAATTGATATTTGTATAGAGACAATATACTATACCATCTACAAAATAGCTGGAATGTTTCATTCACACATTTAGAATATCAATAAATTGATAATTGATTAGGACAATTTTGAACATTCTCCTGACAAATGTAAATGTAGTCTTCGTTTTGGATTATGGATTTTATTTTTATTTACGCAGGTATTATAAATGAATATTTTTTAAATCTAGATACATACAATAAGTATTCACTTTGGGGATATAATGAATGATGAAAAAAACTAATACATTTATCCTACTGAGAGGGTTTGCCAATTGGACTTCTATCTTAGTTTTATCTTTTTAGAAGAGCTATATTGTTACTAATATTGATGAGAAAGATCAAAAACATTTGACAGAGTTCCTCATATTTTGTTTAAATTTATACTTTTTGTTAATAATGTGTGATCACTTTGAAATTATGTGCAGATCTAAATAATCTGGTAGAATGATACAAAATGTTGTTGCTTTTTATGTTGTTTATCAGTTGGGTTTGAAAATTAACAATACTTTACATAGGTTTAACTCTGGTATTGACCTAGAGAGTTTTAGTATGTGTCTATCTATCTTAATTTAGTAATTCTTTGAATGACTCCTATGTTTATTGCTAAAAATCTTAATTTAAATCTCAGTGATATCTCTTTAAATCAACACCACATCAAGAGTTCCTAAGGTTTGAAGAGATAGAAATCATATTTCCCTCCAAGACAAACACATGTCATGCTTGTTCACATTTCGGAAATCTTAGGACCTGTTGGTTTAATATTTGACATTGAATTGATGTTTGGAGCTGCATTTCCCAGATAGTATCAGGGCTTTGAACACATATTCAAGGCTACCTGTATAGAAAGAATCACAGAGATTTAAGAAGAACAATAATATTCACTTGTCATCAATGTTTACAAACAAAATAGCCTTAATTTTAGAAGGTTGGTAATAATGAGAATCCACCAAATCAGCTGTTATCTGTTATCCTTTGGTCTTTGAACCCAAAAATTAAGTTAAATACTTACCAACAAGAGTTTTCAGGTCTGGACCCCTTGATACCCGAAGCCCTCTGTCGCAGAAATGATTGCAGTTTTTGTTTAACTTCTGTACTGGCGACCGCACTTTCTTCATGTTTTTCCTTTTTTCGCAGAATCTCCAGCTGCTCACGTTGCCTCAGCTCCTTCAGTTGGTTCTGTCTCTCCCAATACTGCTCCAAATGCTGGCGCAGTTGTTGCTCATGCTGCTCAGCCAAGTGTTGTTGTTCACGTTGGAACTGTTGCAGGAGGATCTGATGTTGTAATTGTTGTTGTTTCTTAATGAGTTGAATTTGCTGTTCCAACTCGAGCTCAGGTGGAGGTTCACGATGCTGCTCAGCCATATCCTATTTGAACTTCGAGTACATTGCACTCTGCACAAATCACACACTACAAAAACACTGGAAACAAAATAAAGTCTTACGAGGTCATACCGGTCGCGACCAAACTTGAACTAATCCAAAATCCAAACTAATCGTGCGCTTGCTGAAATAAATTTAGGAACAGAAATAAAGTGGTTTGCAGCGTTGTCGGTTATAAATAATTTAATAATTTTAAAACACAAGAAATATTTTCGATTAAATTAGTAAGTAATACATTACACAATGTTAACTTAGGTATTAAGAATTATTTGTTTTTTAATATTTTGGGCTTATTATGTGATTTATATTCAATAAATCCGGTATTCAATTTATATCGAGGCTGGAACTATTTGCATTGAGAATGTTGGCTAGCCTGATACTCCATAAGCTTGCTGTGTGTTAGCCGCGAACAGGGTTGCCAATGTGACTCGAATGTCGTATATGTCTCGTATTTGTTTATTTCCAAATGATTTAGATTCGCTTGAGCTATATATCTATTTTCGGTAATTTACTGTCATCTCCTTTACCTCTTTCAGGATGTTTCTATTAATTTGACCACACATATCTATCAAATTTATATTTTTCTTTTATTGTTCTTATTTTTCTATTTTTTTTTATTTTTTGATGTCTTTATTCATTTTAGTATTTTCTGATTTATTCTATATTTATGAAAAATAGAGTGGTTTATAAAGAATGGGTGATTTTTAGGTGCATGTTTTATAGAATATATTATTATTTTTTTAATTACAGGTTACAACTAAAACTATATTGATACGTTTTTTCTGTTAAATACAAAAGATAAATTCGCACGTTCTTCGGATCGGTACACATCCATCCGATGATTTCTTTGTAAGGACAATGAAGTTGTCTTTACTTCTTCTGCTTCCAATAGAACTACAACTTTAATTGTTTCGTACTTGTAGAATCCCTGAAGTATCTGGCGCCAATGTTGATAGTGGGTCACGCGCATCGAGCAAAAAGATAAAAGAGGGAATCTAATCGTTATGAAAAGGAGACCAAAAAAGTGGCCTCTGATGGCGGACATATCCGGAAATGCAAAGGCGCTAAATTTAAATTTTCCAACACTTATTAACAATAGCTATAAAATATTTTTCAGACGAGAAAGTTTTAATTAAATATTAACTATAATAGTCTAAAAAGTGACACAATTGGTAAAAGATTTCAATATAAATAAAATTTCATGTGACAGTTGGGACAAACAATAACATAACCTAACTAAATTTGACTTCTTAAACAAGGAAAGAGACTGTCTATTCTTGTCTAAAGTGGCCTCTCAAGATGGCACTTCCTGTCTATCAATATGTTTACCCCCACTACCTTTACATTCCCTCTTTTGTCTTATTGCTCGATGGTCACGCGCCACCCGCCTCACCTCTATTTTATTATATTAAGCTTTTTTTTAATCTGTCATCATTTCATGATCAGTTCATGGTTGTGTCTAGAGCTCCATATCTCATTTTCGTTATAGCGGTCCAAATATATTTCTTAATAGCTCTTTAGTTTTAGATTTCTTTAACTATTGTTCTAAAGCTATTTTCTTTCGCATTTTAAAGTGATTACTATTTAAATGGGAATAAGCCACAATTAAAGGTAAAAGTAAGTTTATTGACGTTTCAATTTCCACTTCGAAAATCGTTTTTAAAATACAAACATTATTTTGTATATATTTTTTCTTTAATTAAAGATTTTATGCAACTATTTTGGTGAATTCTTAATGTATTTTAATTTAAAAACTTGCAAAGTAAAGGACATTTTAAGATCTACAATTTTTATTTTAACCATCTAAACTGCACAAGAAACGTTTTATAGGCAAAGATTTTGTAAGTTTTTAAGCCTGTTTAAAACAAAAACAAAGCAAATTCAGCTAAACGTCTTCACTGATTTTTCATCAGCTACCCCCTCATATAGCTTTTAGGACCTTTAAATATATGTATACAATTTTTAAGAGAAATCAATGATGCCTGCGATCAAATCAAATGATCAAAAATCAAATGAGTGAAAACTAGACTTTGGCTATTTGAAACTTTACTACTAAACCACTTGGTTTACTAGGGAATTCAGGGAGTTTACTATTTGAAGGCTTTCTTCAAAAAATATTCTTAGCATGGCTATTGCGATCCACTGCTTCACTGGCTATCTTCTTCTTCTTCAGATGCAAATCCACTAATGGATGTTAGCGATCACATTTTCCATTAACTCTCTATTTCTTGCAATATGTATCAGAGATTGTATGTCGTTAATCCCTGTCCATTGCCTTATGTTTCGGAGCCAGGACATTTTCTTGCGTCCCATTCCTCTCTTGCCTTCAATTTTACCCTCGATTATAAGTTGGAAGAACTGGTATTTTTCATTTCGCATGATGTGACCTAGATACGCCGTTTTCCGTTTCTTGATGGTTTCGAAAAGTTGGCGTTCTTGGTTTATTCTTTTAAGGACATCTATATTTGTGATTTTCGCTGTCCATGGTATTTTTAGGATACGGCGATAAAGCCACATTTCGAAAGCTTCCAATCTGTTTATATCCCTCGTTTTTAGTGTCTAGCCCTCTACGCCATATAGCAGCACTGACCATACGTAGCACTTAGTAAACCTTAGTCTCAGTTGAAGATCGAACTCAGAACAAGTCAGTACCTTCTTGAATTTTACGAAAGCTTGTCGAGCTTGCTCAATGCGACATTTTACTTCCCTGTCCGATGCCCAGACTTCAAAAAGCCACGATCCCAGGTATTTAAATTTACTCACTCTTTCTATGGATTTACCATTCAGTGTTATGGTGGAGTTTTCAAATGCATCCAAGTTTCTGGAGATGATCATGAATTTGGTCTTTTTGGTATTAATCTCTAGTCCCATTCGTTCAATGTATTCTCCGATTATAGTGACAAGTTGTTGAAGATCGACTATGGTGCCACAAATTAAGACACCATCATCAGCATATCGTATGTTGTTGATCAATACTCCATTCACCTTGATTCCCATCTCTGCATCCTCCAAAGACTCTTGAAATATGGCTTCTGAATAAATGTTAAATAAAAGAGGGAAAAGCACACATCCCTGTCGAACGCCTCTTCTTATATGTATGGGCTGAGATATAGAATTGTCTATTTTTAGCTGTGCCGTTTGATGCCAGTACAAGTTTTCAATGCATCTTATGTCTTTTTGGTCTATATCAACTTTCTTGAGAATCTGCATTAACTTGTGGTGTTGGACACGATCAAACGCTTTTTGGTAATCTAAAAAGCATAGGAACACATCCTTCCTCTGATCGTAACAATTTTGGACCAGTACCTGTGTTGCTACTATTGCTTCTCGTGTTCCTAAACCTTGCCTAAACCCGAACTGGGAATCACTGATGTCAAATTCACATTTTTTGTATAATCTTTGATGTAGTATTTTTAAGAATATCTTTAAAGCGTGACTCATCAGGCTAATGAGTCTGTGATCCTCACATCTTTTTGCATTGACTTTATTGGGCAGGGGAATAAAGGTAGAGCGTAACCACTGTTGAGGATAGCAGCCTCACTGGCTATCATATCTGTTAATTTCGGAGATAGACAATGATCCACATGAGATCATTTGTTTTCAATGTCTAAAAGTGAATACACCAATTTTCGATTGAAAATCATTTTTGAAATCTTTCATGAGTGACTTTAAATCAACATAAGTTTCGATATTAAAGCAGCAGTTACTTCAAATAATTTTAATGTATCTAACGTAGTTTATGTCTGCTGATGAGATCCTATGCTCCTATTATCATTACAAGATATAAGTGAATATTCTGATTAAGACGTTGATCGACAGATGTGTAAAACCGCGATTTTATGGTTCGTTGGTAAAGCTCGTCATGTATCATTGCAATACCGCTGTTTTAGATTCCGACGAGCCTGGTTCGATAAATGTATACGCGCCAACCGAAGATAAAGAAGGAGCTGTCAAAAATCAATATGACGAAGTAGAGACCATCTACGATAGACGTCCCAGAAACGACATCAATTCCTATGAACATCCAGTCATATACGTAGGTGATTTCAACAGCCACCATGAGATGTGGAAATACTCAGACACTGACAGAAATGGCACATCCCTTGTGGAATGGGCAGAGGAACATGGTGCCCACCTTCTATTTGACGCCAAAGATAGAGGTACTGTCAGATCTGCGGCCTGGAGGAGAGAACATAACCCTGATCTATGTTTTGTTACCATTGACAACAAAGGCCAACCGCTAGCAGCATCACGAAGGGTTATGTCTGACTTTCCACATAGTCAACATCGCCCCGTCCTAATCAAGATCGGTATCAGCATTCCGATTATAAGATCGTTCCCACGACCCAGATGAAACTTCAAGAAAGCTAACTGGTCTGCTTTCACCAGTAACCTTGACAAATGCCTAGGATGGATTCCACCAAAGAGCCAGAACTACGGGAGACTAACAGGAGCAATAATCACCTCAGCAAAAGCGACAATCCCTAGAGGATACCGCAAAGAATATATCCCTGGTTGGACAGAACAGAGCGAAAAACTGTATGAAGAATATTGCGAAGATGGAAAGCAGGAGATCGCAGACGAACTACTCCACAGCATTGATGCTGCCAGGCGTGAAAAATGGACACAGACAGTAGAAAACCTAGACTTCCAGAACTCAAGTCGACAAGCTTGGTCCCTACTGCGGAAACTCGGAAGTAGCAACCCACCCGTTCGCCAAACCAACCTAGTAACTCCAGACCAAATAGCTACGCACATAGTGTCAACCTTTAGGGCACCTCAAAATCGTTTACATACAATTAAAGTTAAAAAAGACCTCAAAACCATAAAATCTAGTCTTGCACAGTCAACAGAATATTCTAACCCATTTACGCATGAAGAAATATTGCAAGCCCTAAATGAAATGAAAACAGGAAAAGTGCCGGGTTTCGACGCTATTCACGCTGAGTTCCTCAAACATAGCAGCAGATTCACTAGGCAATGGCTCGCAGAATTATTTTCTGACATCCTTCAAACGGGAAACGTCCCCCACCAACTCAAAAATGCAAAAATCGTCGCCATTTTAAAACCAGGGAAAAGTAATAATTCACCGAA